CGCGCGGCGCGGCGGCGGCGAGGAGCGCTTGCCACTGCCCGATCCCTGAGTTCCTCAATCAATCTAGAAATCGTGCACCGCTGCGGGAGTTTCCGCCCGGACGCCCTCCCGACGGGCTCCGGGAGCCGTGGCCCCGGCGGGCGCACCTTATAGAAATGACGAACGCCGAGCCCCCGAGCTCCAACGTCCAGAAAACGGCGAAACCGCCCAAACCCCGACGGCCGCGCGCGCGGTCCCGCGAAACCGGGCGCCGGTCGGCGCGATCGCGACGGATTTCCGCAATTTTTGGACCGTTCGACGGCGCTCGGCGCCGTCGTCGCGGCGCGGCGTCGACGACGGGCGCGTCCGGGAACGGGCGCCACTCCCCGCGACGCCGAAGCCGAGGGGCCCGGCCCGGAACGTGTGCTCGAAGACGAGGCCGTGCCCGTGCATGACGACGAGGTGCTCCTTCAAAATCTCCCGGAGCTTCGAACGCGCCTTCTCCTTGCGCCGCGGCGTCGTCTCGCCGCGCTCGTGGTCGCGCGCCGCGCGCCGGCCCTCGAGGCGCGCCTCGCGGAAGGCGCTGTCGAGGGGGTCGTAGCCCCGCTCCGACGCGGCGTCCGCGCCGCCGGGCTGCGACCGCCGCCGCGCCATGTGCCGCGCGTAGGTCTGCTGCAGGGACGCCTGCTTGGTCTCGGCCATGATTGCACGGCAGCGGGCCGCGACGCGGGTCAGGGCGCGGTCTCGGTGCTCGAGGCCAAGATCGTCTGCGGCGTCCCCATCGGCACGCCGAGTTTCGCGCAGGGCGCGATCGCGACCAAAGTCACCGAGATGTGCAGCTACACGAAAACCATCAACGACAAGCTCTGCTCGGTGGACCCGCAGTCCGCTTTTGCTCTCCTACGGAACTGTTCGACCCGGCGCCTGGACTTCCTCGCGTCCAACGCGTACCCATCCGACGGCGCCGCGTCGTACGCGCGGTTCGACGTCGCGGTCGACGAGGCCGCGCGGCTCGCGCTCGGCGCCGCCGGCCCCGGCATCTTGAGCGACACGCTCGCGAGCCGGCGCCTGCGGCTGCCCCTGTCCTTCGGCGGCGGCGGCCTGCGGTCGGTCTTCGCGACCGTGCCCGCAGCCTTCTGCGGTCGCCTCTTCGCCGTCGCGTCGAAGCTCAGCGCGGGG